ACCCTCAGGGTGAAGCTTGGACTTAGTTTCCAGATGTAGTCAAACCATAACTTTATAAGAGCGTAAAGCTGCCAGGTTAAAAGCTTCAATACGCAGGGTGACGCTGATCAGTTGGATGGATAAAAAAGCCTGACATCATGACGCGTTGTAACACATTACTCCGGTAGTCTTTTTTATTTATTTATTTTTTTTAAGGATTTTTTCGGCACTAGTTTATTTGACAACAATCTGACTGTAAGGGGGCAGAGAGAGCGGAGAGAGGCCTGGGCCCAGCGAATGGAGGACGGGAGTCGGACTCCTGACTACCGCGGCTAAAGTCTCTGTATGAGGGGCGCCGTGCTAACCACCGCACCGCGCAACGCCCCTATTGCGGTAGCCTATGCTGTAATTTACAGATTGTCTTTGTTAAATTATTTACATTTTTATACAATTTGAGCTTTCTGACGAACTCACCTAGTCCACCTTCTTTCATTTCCTTGGAAAAATCTGTTTTGTCATGTGATTGCGACTAGTCGACTGGCCCAGTAAAATAATTGCAGAGAAAAGAATCGACTAGTCGACTAATTGGTGCAACCCCTAGTCTGCATTGAATCCTGCCTTTTGTTCCCAGTGTTGTGACTGGAACGGCATCACTGCTATTCAAGCACATGCTTCGTTAAACAGCAAATTGCTCGTGTTTTCTTTCTCCCACACACTGCAGATTACATTTTTCTGCTCCTGGTCTGACTGTTTAGCCCTCCTCAGGTCTTCAGAAACAGGGTAATTTAAACCACATGAGGTTTTGACTCTGTGCTCGCTCCTGTGGAGTTGAACTGTGCACTTTCAGGAGTTTTTCTTTTTGTCTGGTTTTGGCGCTTCCTGCGGTCTGACCGTGACATCTGCTGTGCTCCTCCTGAGCATCCCAGTAAGAAACCAGGTCCACTGGACTCGGTGAGCCTTGCCCTGTGCCCTTACCCGTTGTGCGTTGCACCGATGCCATCCTCTTCCCTCTCGCCTCCCCGCTGTCTGACCGTGACATCTGCTGCGCTCCTCCTGAGCGTCGCGCTACAACCACCGGAGGTTAAACCAAAACCAGGTCCAGATAATTCATGTGTTTTGCATCTGCCTTTTTAACGAGCTCTTCCCTTGCGCTCTGCTTTCTACTTCCTCTGTATTGATGCCGGTCGGTTACATCATCAGGCATTACCGCAGTTAGTCGGCAGATTACAGATCTGTATTGTTGGCTAAATTTCTATTGTTTCTTCCGTATAATGTTTATATCGCTCATTCCCATCTGTGGTGTTTAAAATGTGCTCTTGTGTTTAGCTCATATCTTAGTAACTTTTAATATTTTTGCTGCTGTTTGTAATTTTGGTTCATAAAAGCAGATCTCTCTTGTAAATGAGATCTTGGGTCCCATTAAGACAACCTGCACAAATTAAGGTCAATTCGACAACCTTAATTACAATCTTTGAAACTAAATTATAAATTTGCTGGCAGTGCCAACAGATTCACTTACTGTGACTTTTACAAGTAAAACTTTTCACATTATATTAGGATTTTAATTAAACCAACACATGGTTTTATTTATTTTTTTCATATAAGTGTGAAAATGTGGCATTTGAGTTTAGGTGCCTGTGCTCTGATATCCCAGTTAAAACAACTCAGTGTCTAATTACTGAAGTCAATTAATTTGTAAATCAAATCCACATTTTTTTGCTGTAGGAACTGGACAAACTCTCCATCTCTCTCCTCTCTCCATCCATCTCTCTCTCATCTCTCCTTCTCTCTCCTCCTTCTCTCCCTCCTCCTCTCTCCTCTCTCCATCCATCTCTCTCTCATCTCTCCTCCTCTCTCCTTTCTCCATCTCTCTCCTCTGCGTTCTGGTTTGACGTCTCTCTCGCTCACCAGGGACTCGTCTCGTACGGAGGGAGAAAAGGGACAAACTCCATTTTTACTCTGAGATATTTGACCTGCTCTGCATCAAATGTCTTTTCATCCTGACACATGGAAAGACATTTTTTAAATCTTTTTACCTGTTTCAAGTCGAATATCAATCAGTTAGCTCTTTTATTTCTCTCTGACTCCAGCTGTTTTTTTCTCCTTTTTTTCAAGGTTTTATTTTTCATGCTTTTCTTTGTTCTCTCTGCATTGTTTTTTTTTTTTTAATTCATTTTTTCCGTTCTGAGATTTCAACTCGGTATACATTTCTTCCATTTTCCTCCTGCTGGATGCTGGAAACGTGTTGTTCAGGCTGACAGGGTGTCCAAACCATTTGTGGTACAACATAACCGTTTTTATCTTTTGTAAGCTGACCCGATTAGGAACAGATTAAATGTTAAAACTGAATCAGGTTATTGGCAGGTTTTATGGTTTCCAGGTCATTATGACTTTTTTAATTGTATTTATTTTCCGGCAGCAGGTCATTGGATATTATAAACATCACATTAACTGCAGAGTAAGTTCTCATCGTTTTACTTTCTCATTTAAAAAGCCAATATTGGAGCATTTTTACAAGCATTGCAGGTGAAATCACTATCTGTAACTATTACCTACAGGAAACTCAGGAAAATGTACATTTGTACCCATGCAGAAGTTTAAACAGCAAGTCATCCTCAGTAAGCAGGTTTGAGTTGTTTTCCCTCCTGTTTCTACGTGTTTAAGCGTTTCGGTCTGGACTCTGGGGAAGCTGTATATGCTTGTATGTTCCAGCTGTAGCTGTTAAAATAACCTCTCTGCCTCGCTGTGGTTTATCTGCCACAGTCTATTAATTACAGCTGAACTGAACTCTAAAGAGATTTTCCCACCAGCAGACTTTTAAGCCGTTACACTTCTCGTCTCCCTTTTAAAGAATCGATACAAAGTGGCCTCAGATGTCCGTCTGAACAGTCGGCTGCTGCTGCTGACTTTGCAAACCTCGCCGGTCTCGTATCGTTGAGTCTAGTTGAGATTCACGGCGCGACCTGAAACTGGCCCTCTAAGCCAGATCAATGCACTTCATCTCCCATCTGTCACATGGCACTCAAAGCCTGCTCTGCCACCCAGATTACTGATGTGCTGAGTTATAATTTGGTTGGAGCGGCGGTGTACAGCACCCAGGGCGCTTTGAGAAGCCCCTGGCAGGCCGAGCTGTCATCCCACATTCATCTGTCACTGGGAGAGCTGCGTGGAACAGACAGCTAATATCCTCAGGTCCTTTACAACTGCTTTTGTCAAAGTCTGCATTGTGACAGGAGGCTTCCCACAAACATCTCAGAGCCTGTTTGCCATCTTACCTAAAGTCTGCTTGGACAATGAAGTCCTGTCACCTGTGGCTGCTGCAGTGAAGGCGTGTTTCCACCGGCCTCATCGCCGCTATTCTGTCACAACATAAAGATTTGACTTTATGCTGCAAAGTCACGATACCATAAACAGAAGTATGGATGCAGATTGAGGAGTCAGACAGAGCTGGAGGAAACGGAGAGGTCTGAAAAATGTAGCTATCGCTGAGAAACCATGCGCTGCTTTACTCATCCGGTTCAGCTGCAGAAAACAGTTGAGGTCAGAGGTCAGCAAATTCAAAAACTAAATAATTATGCCCCATATTACTACAAAATAAAAACAACTACAGTGCCATCTTGACCCCTCTGTAGGAGGTTATGAGGAGGTTTTACTGCAGAACTAGATTCCTCATTTTTACAGGCAGATGTTGAACTTTCCCTCCTACTGATGCGTCTACAGTCAGATTTTCTTCCTCTCGCTCAGATTCTGTTTTCTGATCCTTTTAATCCGGCTGCTCATGTAGTTTTCATGGTGGTGAAATCTACACCTCCAGCAGAGGAAGCAGGAATCACCAGGCAGCTTTACTCCAGGAGCAGGAGATCGTCCTGCAGAAATATTAAATATTACTGTAGTTTGATGATGACATGACAACATTTGCAAGCATGATTGGTTTTGAGTGAGAGTCGTGAAATGTTGAAGGCTGTAAATGGAGAATCCAGTTTTTCGGATCTCGTTGGACTCGGCAGCCACAGCAAAACGTTTCTGAACCTTCTGGGTTGGTTTGGACCAGACCGATGATGAAAAACTAAAACTTTCAGCTTTCCTTTGAGGAGACGCGTCGCACACAAATTGACTCAATGTTGCCTAAAAGCAGGGAATAAATCATTTCATTGCATGATAAATTTTAACAAGCTCAATAATTTCTGTTTGCATGATTTATCGTTTCCCTCTTTTCTTTTTTCTCTTCCTACCAAAACTGGTCTTCAGTCTGGTGAACTATATTTGTTTGGTTGGTTTATTTTGCATATTTAAAATGTCTTCCAGTTCCAGTGTTAAATGTTCATTTATAGTTTATGGATTATTATATGCCATTACCATTATATTACTAGAAAATGGTCCCAAAACAGCAATATTGTCATTCATCGTGACAGGATGAAAAGGAGCCAACAGTTTCCACTCAGCTCAGGTTTTCAGGGCGTTTGGTCCAAAGTTGAGACTGTAGAGACAAAATGTTGCTTCTTAATTTTTACTTCTAGTGACACGAAGGGCCTGCATGGTTTATATCTGAACCCGTTAACAATAAATAAACTCAGACTCCTTCATCTGTTCTGATTGTTTTGTTTTGAACCAACAGAAGTGGTGCAGCTGAGCCTGGCGGAGGATCAGCGAATCAGCACCTCGACCGTAACGGTGGGCCTCAGCGCCGTCCTGACCTGCGCCATCCAGGGAACGCTGCGCCCGCCCATCATCTGGAAGAGGAACGGCATCGTCCTGAACTTCCTGGACCTGGAGGACATCAACGTGAGTCCAAACCGGATGTTTTGTTTCCTGAGGCGACAGCAGAGAGTACGGGCCACAGATATTGGTTCTGGATCCATTATTCCTCCAATAACCAATTAATTTCAATCACTAAATAATTTTTACTCATGTAATTTGACTTTCAATTACGAAAGAAAACAAACTGTTAATACTGATATGGTGTTAAGAACACTTTGAAATGTGTTATGAGGATTAATGAACGCTGCTTCTAGAGTGTTTAACTCCGAAGTGAAGTGACGTTTTTGTAAAATCAAAATATGCATCATTAGTTTTCTTTCCACTTCTTAATCACAGATCAATTAATCAATCAATCAGGTTTATTTCTGTAGCACATTTCAACAACAAGGTAGTTCAAAGGGCTTTACATCATAAAACACAAAGTCATCAATGATTGAAACATTGTTTTTTTCTAAGTTCTGTCATCAAAATCATCAAAATGTTTCTAAATCAGCTCTAAATAGGAGGTTTTAGTCTAGATTTAAATGAGCTCAGTGTTTCAGCTGTTTTTCAGTTTTCTGGAAGTTTGTTCCAGATTCATGGTGCATAGAAGCTGAATGCTGCTTCTCCATGTTTGAGAGATCTGGAAGGTCTGGAAGGTTTGGAAGGCCTGGAAGGTTTGGAAGGCCTGGAAGGCCTGGAAGGTTTGGAAGGCCTGGAAGGTCTGGAAGGCCTGGAAGGTTGATCCAACAGCAGCAGATCTTTAATCTGTAATTCAGTGATTTATAAACTAGCAGCAGTTTAAAGTCTCTCAGTGAAGGACTGTAGAACTAGGTGGCGTAGAACCTGGTGGCGTAGAACCAGGTGGCGTAGAACCAGGTGGTGTAGAACCGGGTGGTGTAGAACCGGGTGATGTAGAACCCGGTGGTGTAGAACCGGGTGGCGTAGAACCAGGTGGTGTCTCTACCCTCCTGGTTCTAGTCAGATCTCCAGCTGCAGCTTCTGGTCTGTCAGTCTGACCTGCTGCAGGAATCAAAGCCAGTAAATCCTGGATGAGTTTCTCTGGTCGGAGACTTTAGTCCTCTGGGCCTGAATGTTCTGCAGCTGCTAGAAGGTCCACTGAGGAACCAAAGGGTCAGGTCAGAGGTCAGAGGTCAGCCTGATGTCTGGTTACCAGCTGGAACAACTGGAGCTGTGCGTTGACTGTAGATCTATAACTCTAGATTGTTCCTCTTTGGTAATGTTTCTGAACCCAGACTTTTGGCGCCTCTGTTCGGTTCGCTCAGGTGAAAATGTCATCAGGTGTGTCGGAGCAGAAGTTCGTCTAAAACACGGAGCGGATCCTGAGGAACTGGACTGACCCAGATCAAAACATTGAAGGTTGTGATGTAAGAAAATGAGAGAAGGGGTGTAAATACTTTAGTGAAGAATCATCCTGTGTGGAAATGATTAAATGAATTGTAGAAATATTAACATGCAAATTAAATCTGAAAATTGAATTTGCATTTATTTTGCCTTTTCTCCTTCATAGACGGGAAGGAAAACAGATTCATGGTAAGAGTAAAAGTGAGTCAGACTGAAGGATGCGGCATAATTACCACATAAAAATGCATTGAACTTTTAAATAAAACCTATTACTTAATGTGAGTGGGCTGCCTAATTAATATCTGGTTGATTTTAGCAGTAAGAGGCGCGCTGGGTGGTCTCTTCACATTTATATTAAAATGAACCAATTACAGCCTGTTTTTGAAATGCAAAATGTGAAAATTACGATGCTGCTGAGAGCCGTGAAGAACCCTGAGAGTAGCTCAGCTGATTTATCCTCGTCTTTGTGTTTTAAGTTTGCACAACCTATGTTCCTGCAGACAAAAGCGAAGTGGTTGTCTTCCTTCATCTGCGATACTCAGCTGCAGGAGGGAGGAAGACTAATTACAAGAAAACGAACAAACGAGTGGAAATAAGAGAACAATGATTGCCGAGCATCCTCCATGAAACAATGCGATTAATGTAAGCTCTGCGCTTAATGAACGGCTCCTGTTTGGGTGGAAGCTCAGCGTGGCTCCATCCAGCGCCGCTTCTCAATGTGCTGATTGCAAGTTAATGAGCAGCATGTTGGTCTGCTGGGGTGAAGAGCGAATAAACAGGCTGACATGTTGGGGCCGCGACTCCAGGTGCCTGCAGCTCTGCACAGACCTGGGCCGGAGCAATGGCTGCTGGCGTCCTGTTGGAGCCTAAACACATGAATTAACTTAATGTTTGGCTGCATGGATCCACTGCAGGAAATGGGAGAAAAGAAGCACTTTGTTTTAAACCGGATTGTAGAAAAATATGCAGATAAATCTAATCTAATTCACATGGATGTGATAAATGTTTCATTCGTCTGATTTTTATCAACTGTTCTTGTCAGAGGAGTCACTAAGGACAAATTAAAAACATAATTTAACAGAAAATAGATTCTGCATTATTACTAATTAATCACAAGTAGATTTGTGCAAAAACTGAATAAAATGTGTGCAGCTTTAGTTCATGTTCTTCAGACAGAATAAAAGATATTTTCAACTGTAACAGAAAGAATAACCTCTGGCTCATTTCTGTTCAAAGGCTGCACTTGATTCTTCATTCACTGTCATGTTTACACTGTAAAAACACAAAACCTCACCGAGTAGATTTAACCTAGTTTCTATTGAACATGCCTTAGTCCACTGAAATCAGAGGAAATTAACTCACAACTAACTTTTCACCAGACAGGAGCTTGATTCACATCAACAGATCCCTAATGTTGATGAAACACAGAATATCCCCATATTTGTATTAAATAATCTGCCAGTGGAACCAGAACTTCCTCATCAATATTAGGGAATTATTGGCTTTAAAAAGCTGAAGTGAGAACGTCGGACCATCAGATCCGTGCGATCTGCCGCTCGGTGGGACGGCAGAGAGTTTAATGCTTTAATTTGCGCTAACTTGTAGCAGGAAGTCCCTGCTGATTGGCTCACGCTGCACCAACCACTCTGGCTCATTCATCAGCCTAATGGGCTTTATATTTTTAACCCTTGCCATTTATCAGACTGAGGCAGCGTCATGAGGGGAGAGCAGGATCAAATCCCCAAATGCCTGCTTCAGCTCAACAGGGAAACCCTTGATTCATGGTTTGTCTTCCTTCCCCCATCACTCTTTCTCTCCCCTGTCTCTTCCCATCATTCCCTGCTGCTGCAGTCCTCCTCTCTGCAGTCCATCAAGCTGCCTGCGTTTCCCACCGGCTCCCTGTGGATCTGCTGCACCCAGTTCTTCCCTCGTTCTGTTCCCATCTCCACCAGTCCTAACTCCTCTCCTCCATCTCCTCCTGTGCTGCAGGACTTTGGGGACGACGGCTCGCTGTACATCACCAAGGTGACAACAATTCACATGGGGAACTACAGCTGCCATGCCTACGGCTACGAAGACCTCTATCAGACTCATGTGCTGCAGGTGAATGGTCAGTAGTGGCTCAATTCTCTCCTAAAATTCCTGAAGAAATGATAAAAACATTTGTCTTTGTCCTGCTTTGTGGATGCCAGAAAAAGACTTTTTGTTTTGTTGCATTTCAAATAAAATCAGAACAACAAACTACTGGGTAGTCTGGGTTAGAGAGGCCAATTTAAACCCTTTGCCTTCAACAGATGTTGCTGCATGATTAGTATGTGTGGATCCAGAGGATCTCTGCATCTCCAGGTTTCATCTCCAGGTTCCACCGTCGCTCCGGGTGGAAAGGAGACGAATCGTCTTTTCTCCATGCGGGAAATTTCAGAATATAAACAATAACATGCCATACTTTTAGTGGCGTAAATACTTTTCCAAATTAGTTTAAACAATTTTAAAACAGCTCTAAGCATTTTAAATAGAATATTTAGAATATTATTTTTGGTATTTTTAGTTTCCTTATGCTTTGGGCCGGCTCTGCCTGCATATAAACTATTAGACCTGATTATTTAAAGCTTCGTCTGAATGCCACAGGATATTTTATTTTTCTAAAAATCCACAAACAAACCTGAGCTGGTAGAAAACTGGTAACATCAGAACAAATCTCTGACCTCCTCAAACCCCCAATTAAAACTTTTTCAATAAAAATATGTGATCGCTTGGTTTTTCTGCCCACTAAATAAATTAATGTAATTAATATGAAACAAAACGCAGCAGATTTTCTTCTTGTGCTTCAGAGTGAAAAGAGGAGCCGTGCAGACAGAGAGGATGTCTGGGGAGGCGTTATCAGCAGAGGGCAATTACCAAATGTTTGCTTTGGGTATTCAGGGTATTTCAAAAAAGATAGGAGGAGGTGAGATAAGGTGGAATGGAGAGGAGCCAAGAGCCACATTAGACTAAGTGGGCGGTTTGCATCCCGCTTCGCCGCTACAGCAATCTGTTCGCTAGGAGAACGACGATGCTGCAGCTTTCCCTGAGTACTGTAAAACTCTGCTCCATATTATCTTACCAGTGTGACGCCATCGCTGTTGAAAATGTGTCTGCACCATAAAGTAACACCTAATAAACACTGAAGAGGAGTTGTAAAGTACGGCTTCCATCCAAGTAAACAACAGTTTAAGAGCCAAACATGCAGGGAGAATCGATTGAGGATGTTGGGAGAATTTCCTTGTTTTGAAAGAGGAAACGAGTTTTTACCGCTGCTCCGTTTCTGGTTTTCATGGAGTCAACAGGCTGGAGCTCAAACAGATGACGAAAAATACAAAATATTACCACATAAGAGATTTGCACTAACTTAGACGGCGCTTCTAAGGAAGATACAGGAGCTTGTTTTAAGTCAGTAATTCCTTAATATTGGTGAAAAATTACTGGATTCATTGGCAGATTATTTCTGCCAATGGATCCAGTAATTCCAGTAAAAGTTCCAAACTGGAACTTTTTCATCAAGATTAAAGAATTATTGATTTTAAAAAAGCTCCTGTTTCTTCATGAAAAGTTACTTGAAAGTTGGTTTTGTTTTATTTTGATAAGATATTTGTACTGGAAACTAGACCAGAATACTTGGTAAGATTTTGTGTTTTTGCAGTGTAGTTCGCTGCAGGTGTTTAGATGCATTTAGGAGCAGCTGCGTCCAATTCACCGCAACTCTGATTTATAAAGACAACGCATGCAAGGTTTGATAAATCAGAGTTTTTTTGTGCACTGCACATTTCAGAATTTCTCCCTAAAATACAAACGTTGGTATCAAAGCTGAGCACGCTTTAATGAAGCTAAATGTAACACATTAATATACTTTGTTTGTTTGCAGTTTAAGCTGATTTGCAGCTTTAGTGCAAATCAGCTTTAATGCCATTTAGGTGAATTTGTTGCACTGGATTTTATTTAAGGACGTCAGTAAAGTCGACAAAGACAAAAACATGCCACACATTTCAGATTTTATCTGTTAAATTTCGTATAAATTGGATGCATTAATTTCCTTCCAGTGGTGATTTTAAATCACTTCTTAAAAGTTTAATTGAGGCCTGACAGTAACTTTTCTGTGATGTTTTATTTTTATTTCCTTTTTTTCTCTTTTCATCAAGTTGTTCTATTGTGTTGTTTTTGTGCAGCTTTAAACCCGTTTTTAAAATGTTACATAAATAAATCTGACCTGCTGGACTGACAGAAAACTGACAGAAAATCCTGAAAAGTTTCCAGAGATTTGAAGATTGTTGAGAAAAGGGATACAAAGAAAAGAAAATGTTCAGTATGTGACTATGATGAAATGCTAAAGCAGTCTTAATAGTGACTAAAAATAAAGGTAATGATCCAGAGAGTCGTCAGATTTACTGAGGTTAAAGGTCAAAGTGATGTAGGCTGTTGAAAAAGAGAGCAGCAGGTTTGCATCAGCGTCGAACTGCATCCCACCTGCTCATGGAAAATATTACCTCATATTTCCTTTGACTTTCAACTCTTCAGCATTCTCTGGCACTCGTCCCCCCAGAGGACGCAGTAAGCGGCCGAGTCGTCCAACATCTATTTCATGCAGGGCCAGAGCTGTAATAACGGCCCCCAGACTCTCGCATCCTTGTTATTTGTGAATATATTTCACGGCGGGTGAGATTAATTCTCTACCACGGAGCGTTTGGGTGTTTGTGTGTTTTATGCCCTGGGATTTGCGGCCCACCATGAAACGGGACGTAATCATGTCTTCACCTGTCCCTGCGCCGTGTGCCCAGTCCCTCCGGTGATCCTGGTTTACCCGGAGACGCAGGCCCAGGAGCCCGGCGTGTCGGCCAGCCTGCACTGCCACGCCGACGGCATCCCCGACCCGAAGCTGCTCTGGCTGAAGAACGGCATGGACCTGCAGCTCAGCTCCTCCACTCAGCTCTCCCTCTTAGGTGAGGAGCTGCTTTTATTACAACTGGAAAAAACAAACTGCTCTTGATGCTAAAAAATCCAGAAAAGAGGAAAAATGATTTGCAAACCTGCATCATCCTGTAAATATACAACAAACTACAGAAATTTAATTTCAATAAATTATCATGTTTGGTTTGTTTATTTGCCAAGTACAAATAATAATAAAAAACATTAACAGTTTATGTAATTAGAATTAAAACTATGAAATATTTTGTGCAACTTGACATTTAATGTTTGGCTGCAGAGGATTTTTCTAAAATAGTTTTCAGAAACATGGAGAAAGGACTTCAGCGTCATCCTGGGCGCTCCGCTTCTCCTCTGCAGGTTGCAGCCAATTTTGGTTCATTTGACAACAAAAAGGCTCCTAAAAGCAAAGAGACGGCAGATCAAGAAAGGCTGCAAATAAAACATCAGCTTTTTTCTGAGAGTTTCTGGATGTTCTGTCAGAGAGACGGGCGGAGCGGAGCGGCTCCTTTATGGCCCAATTCTCATTAAGGAGAGTTTATTTGGCACCTGTGGGTCATTAGCTTTGGTTACAGCCTGTTATCAACCCACCGACACTCAGACTGAAGCTGCCTCTGGTCCACAGGCTCATAAACAACGAGCCACAGATCAACCAGCAAACAACTTGGAGAAATAAAATGATTCAGATTCTATGTAACAAAATCATGGAGGTAAAACAGTTGATTTCAAGATGTATTAAAATATATTAACATTCAAAATATATTAAATGAAAATGTAATTTTGTCAAATTCAGTGATACTTTAGGTATTTTGCAGCGTTATTTTACAACTCAAAGTGTTGATAACATAAAAATGGAGCCTAACGTTTTTAGTGAGCACTTCAGAGCGTCTGACAGAAACTGGATGTAAATGTGAGCATAAATATAATAATCGGTCCAAACGGGGAGGAAAACGTCGGTGTTTGTTGGAGGCTTCCAGAGGAACTGGACCCTCCTCAGGGGCTGAGCTGTGAGCGGAGGGTTTCCCAGGTCGGGTCCGAGTGCAGCGGCTCGGCTCATCAAGGCTTCTGCAAACATCAGAGTTGATGGATTTTCCTGAACACCGACCGTCTACATCACCTGGTCTGTAGAGCCAGAACAATGCAGCGTTGTTCAGGATGAAGGAGGTTTGCTCTGATGTTCCTCAGGTTTATTCCTGTGATGTGAAGGAAATCTCCTGATTCTGGGAATCCAAGCAGCACTGATCCAAACGAGGCTTTTCTGATTCATATTAACTACAACGGCAGAGCAGCCGTGATTCATCATGTTGTATTATGTTACATCTGAGCTTGGAGTCATTTTGCACTCATGAGGCCATTTTTCCAGGTGATTAAACCGTTTCCTCCTCCGCACCTTAAAGTAGAAGCTGGTGTTTATGGGTAATCATCTCCCTCTGCTCAGTTTGTTCATATTACCATCCAGTTGATTATGAACATGAGACTGTTGAGAGCCGAGGTCAAACAGTAAATACATGTTCTCTGCCTGAGATGCACATTGAACGGAGAAATGTTTGGATCAATGTAAAGGACAGAAAGCTGCTGGCGAACGGCGGCTAGCGTTTAGCCGTCAGGTTGTTGTTAAATGTGTGTGTGATTTAAATAAAGCTGACGGACCGAATGTTGGGAAACGTTGGAGTGTTTTTGGTGTTGAAGCCTGAAACATGTAGTGGCGCTGTTGCTATGGCAACCAGTCTGCGCGTAGCGTAGCCGACACAGAGAGCGAGAAAAATTTGTTAACGTTTTTTCTGCGTTATTTTCCCTTTCCTGCGGCGCTCTGCACTAAACCAGCAGCTTCATCTATTAGCGTTCCGACGCAGCAGCGACGACGGAAAGGAAAAGGAATAATTGTCTGTTCGTCCTCCGGTGTTTCCAGATGTAAACAGTAACAGTTGGTTGATAGCGTAGAGAACATGCAGTTCACCGTTTCTGTTTGCTGTCCTGGTAGCCAACGGCAGCGAGCTCTTCATCGCCAGCGTGCGTTACGAAGACACCGGCGCTTACACCTGCATCGCCAAGAACGAGGTGGGAGTGGACGAGGACATCTCCTCTCTGTTTGTGGAAGATTCGGCCAAGAAAACGCGTAAGTCACATCTTATTTATTTACCGCTCAGATACATGTAAAAGCAAACGTCTAAATAAAAAAAATAAGACAAATGATGCAACACAGCATTAAATAAAAGATCTGACCCAAAAGTAAATCAGGACATTTAAATCTAATTCATTTGTTTTTCCTGGTGTGATGAAATGATTTGGAGCCAAAAGCAGAAACTTATAAAACATGAATGTACATGTGAGGGAATTTATGTCAACAATTTGATTAAAAAGCAATAAATGTGTTTCAGACAGAGACGAAGAATCTAGTTTAATTCATCCAGTAAAGTTTTTAGAAAAGCTTGAATGTGTTTTTGTTTTGGGCCTTTTTAAGGTAGTAAACACTAAATATAGATGCTCCGTGTGGAATAGATAAAATGAGTAAATAAATTCAGATTCTTGGTCTTAGGTGAGCAAAGTCATATTTTTATTCCATCCTTGAAAGACAGTTTTAAAAAAAGAAGAGATTTATTTATTCTCATGAAGAATGTATGAGAACCAGGAAATAATCTGAAGCGTTGAAAAAATGTTTTTCTGTATATTTTGCTTTTATTTTTAACACTGTAGAATCTGTGGCTTAGAAATGCAAATGTTCATTTCTAATCCCTGTCGAACACATTCAGATAAGATCCAGAAAGATCAAGATCCCGTCATTTACAGAGCCAACCGTGGATGAATAATTGATTTATTTATAAAACCCTTTTCATCGCCGCACTCACAAAGCACTTAAGATCATAAGAGATCTAAACACATAAGGCGTAAAAGGTCAATAGAAATAAAAACATGAAAGAAGCCGCTACAAGAACACATGCAAATAGAAAGATGCTAAATCCAGGATGTACCGACGGAAGAACAGATTTGCCTTTAAGTGTTTTTTAAAGAACGAAGTGATTAAAGCAGATAGTTTCACACCGCAGGGCCGGAGCCTGGGAGGCCGATTCTGTTTCTCATCTGCAGAGGAACGACGAGCGAAGAGAAGAGAATCTGTAGGCGAACAGGGACACCAGGGTCCGATTCGGTTGGATGAATATGAGACGGGTTTCATGTGACCGCTTCCATCCAGGCTTCATGCTTCTGTCATTATGTTAAGAACAGTTATTAGAAAATAGGAACAGATTTAGATTGGTTGATTTCCAACAGGTTTCTGATTCCAGCGTGAATCTCCTGGACACTTCAGGATGTTCTGGGAGATATTGGATGTTATGTTTTATTAAAATAAAGACACAAAAATAAAACTGGACCACACAAGATTAGCTTAATCTGTATTCAGATGCTATTTTACCACATTAGAATCTAACGTGGTAACGTGGTTTTGCCTTTATTTATGTTTAAAGGTATACGCACTGATCCTACTGGAAAATACTTAGTTTGCCGACGTTTCTTTAGAGGAGATTTCATCACTCCTGAGGTGATGCTCAGCGCTTAGAGGGATTTAATTAGACATTTAATTAAACTGAAAAACTGTCTGCATGTCTCCACTAAGGAAAAATAATAATCTTCAGAGTTGGAGGAAAACATGGCCTGTCAACACCAGAGCAGCAATTTGCAGCTGCAGCAAATGTGTAAGCTAAGATTAATTAATGTTTTTCTTCCACCTCTTTTCTTCTCTGCAGTTGCAAACATCCTTTGGAGAGAAGAAGGTAACACATTAGCAGTTCTTAAAATATCTTTTATTTTCTTTGTGCACTTGAAATTGTTGGCTTGTTTTGAGGGGTCAGCAGATTTACTGACTCCACTGACCAAAACGACCCACACAGTTGTTTCCTCCAGCAAATGTTGCTGCAAGTCCCAACCAGAAAACGGGAGCAGAGGCTTTAAAGGAAACGATCCACATTTTATGGCAGATCCAGTTCTGTGGCTACAATGAAAACAGCTTTGTGGGTTTTCCTTCATAAATGCATTTTATACAAAATCACCAGAAGCTTAATGTGATTCTGCTGTAAGGATCAGTTGGATAAGTATCACAATAAACTTTAGTTTTTACCTTTTAAGACTTTTTCATAACTTTACCAACAAATGTTTGAAATCTTGAGGTTATAAAGTTCATATGAAGTCCAACCAGATCTTCATCTGTTCATCACAACCAGCAGTTTGAAGCTCCGCCCCTTTAAGAGCCACAGCTGTTGCTAAGCAACATGTCAAACACTTTACCTGATATCAGCTGTTGGAGGAGGCTGGATGTATTTCCCTGTTTTGATGTAGTTAAAGTTCTGGACATGTTGCAGCCGGACCCGCTTTCATCCTTTATGTGGAATATCAACATGTTGTGGAGCGTTTCTGCTGCGACGCCATCTTGGATGTTTTCTAAAGCAAAATACGCAGCGTGTTCGACACGATGCGAACACGTCACACGGTTGGGGAACGGATGGAGGAACCGCTGAGCCTGCAGAGCATCGATTCCCATCCTGATCCAGCGATTTTCCTCAAACTCTTTCAGGCTGAGCATCACCTACAAACTGACCTTAAACTCCCCGCAACGTCTCACTGCACAACCTGACAGTAAAATATTCGTCTCTTACCTCACTGGTTTGTTCCTCCTAATGAGGAAGGTGGCGCTGCTCACGCATTGTCTCTGCAGACATAGATCTACATAGATCTGCATAGATCTACATGTCTATGTGTTGTAATGTTCAAAAACTAAAGTTCTGCATCTGAAAAAGTTCCATCTTCAGCTTCTCCTTCCAGTGACCTGGTTTTATTTTTAAACACAGTGCTCTGGTGAGCTAGCTGTAGTGTCGGACTACGGCTAGCTGTAGTGTCGGACTACGGCTAGCTGTAGTCCGACCACTAGGGGGCGCCTGTGAGCCTCAGCTTGTCAAAGACTGGGATGCAGAAAGGCGTTTAGAAAGCGGTCCTGTGTTTTCTGCAGTGAATGTGCTTTAACGCACAGAGGCTCGTTTCTTCTTTGGATCTGTGGTATTTAGAGCCGCCGTGTCTCACAGCAGAGCTTGATCCTCCTGTTGCATCCAGACGGGTCGCTGACAGCAGCTTCTGGAGGCCTGCATGCGGTCCCAGCCTGCTCATGTAATGGCTCGCTAACAGGAGCCTCACTGAGTCCCTCTGAAATTGAAATGTCCATCACAAATACCAGATTTGACAAGAGTGGCATTTAGAGTGGCTCAGACTGCATTTGTTCTTTCGAAGGCGACGTTTTTGACAACATTTCCTTTCTTGTCCTGCTGTAGGGTTGAGTGTGGGAAACATGTTTTACGTGTTTTCTGATGAAGGCATCACCGTCCTGCAGCCCAGCGAATGTGAAATACGGAGACACCTGAAGCGGACAGAGAGGATCGTCGCGACCTACGTACGTACATCTGAACCATGAAAAACTGCTCATGCTACGTGTTTGAACTAGGACATACTGAGGAGAGGAGCAGGTGAAGTCTAGATGTGTTTCAGTTGTTGGTGTGAAACTGTGGGATGATTTTCTCCTTTCCTGGTGACTTTACAACACAAATACATGCCAGACCTTTTCAGAAAAAGGAAGCATGCTGTGTTCACACCAAACACGTTTCGCGCGTTAAGAACTCACCCGACGCTTCGTGTTGGACACGTTTTCATTTTGAAGTCGACTCGTTTTGCTCTAGACGCGCCGTTGTTTTCCGTCTTTGTACAAGATGAAAGTGAGGGAGGCACCAAAGTTTATGCAGTGAAGCTTCTGCAGTCATAAGAGGCTCAGATGTTCAGTTTCTGTTGAACCAACAGCAGCGACGGCTGCCAGAGGCATCATCTTATTTGGTACGATTCCTGTTTTTCCTCTTCAAATTGAATATCAAACCTTCAGATAATTCAATTTGCTCTCAGATCTTCCTGCACTGCTTCAGTCCAGGTTGATTTCCTCCCTCTTTGCTTTTCTAAATATAATGGGATTATTTGTGTCCATTAGTCAATGGCTTCCCACTAAACGGTGAACACAGTTCACCTTTGACCTTTTAATCCTCCGGATAACATCCGTCTCTCAGAGCCTTTAAAGGTCCAGGATGCTTGTTTCCTGGAGGGATTTGGGTTTTCAGGACTGTAATGGTGTGAAGGATCGATATAAACGCCGAGTGGCTCCCACTTCCTGCTCCAAACGGCAGTTTCTCCACCTGAGTGAGGCAGAGGAGCCGGACTCACCTGAATCCTGATGAGGGTTGGAAAACCAGGACAGTTTGGGTTTAAATCTGAATTCAAGTTTCTGAGTGGTTTCACAGATTCTACCTGATGATTTATTGTTTTTATATCAGCAGTTTCAAAAGCATCACCAGTGCAAAACGTTAAGATCTTATATTTCTGGTGAAGCAGCCGCCTGGTGGCTCTGAGATATGATGAGGAGATTTATGACGGGAATTCAGTCGCTTTGGATGTGATTGTTGTTTAAGAGTCAAATTAAAAATGTGGAAACAACTAATTTAAAAATAAAATCTGTACGTCATGATGCAGTAAGTTACACTGCAAAAACACAAAATCTTACCAAGTATTTTTGGTCAAATTTTTGGTGCAAATATTTTGAAATAAGATGAAACTGGGGACAAGAAAATGGATGGATGGAAGATGAAACCAACTCTGGTAACATTTCAGTAAGATATAAAAGCTTCTTTTAAATCCTCAATACTGATGAAAACAGATTATTTCACTTATAAAACGGGGAAAATCTGAGTGAAATAATCTGCCGGTGGAACTAGAACCTTTTCATCAATATTAAGAAATTATATATTTAAATTAGCTCTGTCATTTTGCTGATAAATTACTTGTAGGTTATTTTTATTTGAAGTGTATTAAGATATTTGGACTAGAAACTAATCCACAGCTACTTGGTAAGATCTTGTGTGTTTTTTCAGGTTCTGGTGGCTGTGGCTCTCCTGTAGCAGTCTGTGTCACAGTGGCTCTTCATTATGCTGCTAATCAGAACCAGTTTTAAATCTTTTTTAAATAATTGAAGTGACAGAAAAGATGTGAAGGATTCGTAAAAGTACGGCAACTAGCTAGCAATGCTAACGCTACGATTTGGTAACAGAATGATTTTTAGCGCAAAACTAAAGGTTCATTTCTCTGTTTAAGTAATCTGGACTGCCGCTAGCTCACTTTATGATTAAAATACACTTTTTAATCGTAAAATATAATCAGTAGCTCATAAAATGAACAGTTTTAGAGTTTTGGTACACAGGAGCTTTTTACAGCCGAAGACTTTTTGCTCCCTCATCTTTTCTGACGACTCTTTCACTGGTTTCACATCAGGTCAAGGGTCAATGTTTGTACTGGGAGCATAAAATGATAACTGAACTACACTGAGGATGCTACAGGTCAGAGCTTTCTCTGACCTGTAGCATCCTCAGGTCAGGTGAAACTGATGTTGCTTCTTAAACGGACTGAATCAGTGGGTGATGATCTGCTGCCAACGTTTCTGGTCCTGGTTTCCTCAGGAGGAGATGTGTCCCAAAGGGGAGGGCGTGTCTCCGCAGCGCTGCGTTTGGTCTTCGGCCGTCAACGTCAGGGAGAAGTACATCTACGTGACCCAGCCGCTCCAGAGCCGCCTGCTGGTCGTCGACATCCAGGCCCAGAAAGTGGTTCAGGTGAGAGCAGCTGCGTCTACAAACACAGATCTCACCACCTGCTCTATAAACTCAACATGAGCATTTTATTTTTACTTTACTGGATTTTCTTCCCACTGAATGAAAATCAAACATGTTTTAACCAGAAATCCTCCAGACTCAGACACACAGCTGCAGGTTTTATTATGAGGTTTTTATTCAAAGAAATTGATTTGAAAACATTTTTATTTTGCCTGATTTCATTTTTTTTGTATATTGATATGAATTATTATCATGTTTGTTCTTAAAATACCAAAATTTCCACTTTTATGTTTTGGATGTAATTTTTAAATATTAAATGATTGATAATTTGATCAGTATCCTTTTGGATGGATATTTCCAAACTAAAATATGGAAAATAAAATAAGGTTAAACCCACAACAATAAACGAACTGACTCAGTGGTTAGTTTGGTCCAGACTTTCTCTTGTTCTGGTTGGCATCTGGTTTGGCTGTTAGCGCTAAGCTAACAGGTTTAGCTAAAGGAGAGTTTGGAAAGTGCACAGGATGCTGGATTAGACGTGTTGAAGGTTTGCAGTTGTTCTCTTTGCAGTTCCAGATAACGGATCGGTCAGCGATCCGTCGGCTGTCGAAAGCTTGAAATATTGTTTTAATAACGGAGCTCTGCTGTAACAGTCTGTACACATCTGTCCAGATCTGCTGCAGCCTGTCTTTGTCTTCATGGTTTATCTGCTAATATTCTCTAGAAACCTCTAGAAGAGCTGCGTTTATGCTGAGATTAAAGCAACACAGATTATTTCCTAATGTGGAGTCAGTTAGTTTGACTGGTGAAGAATCATCATGAACTTTATGTGGTTTATTGCATGAAATAAAAATAACATTCTTTGAAGTTTGTGTTTGTAATGACAAAATCTGGAAAAGTTCCAGATTTATTAATGCTTTTACAAAATGTTCTGCAAAAATACAAAATCTTACAAAGTGTTTTTGGTTCATCTGGAGCAAATATCTTAATGCAATCAGAGAAAACTCATTTACAAGCAGCTGTTCAGCTTGGTTTGATCAATAATTCCTTAATATTGATGACAAACTTCTGCTTCTATTGGCAGATTATTTTACTAAAAGTATCTTGTCATAATAAGGATCAAGTATTTCTTCATCGATATTAAGCTCATAGTTCCTCCTGAAAAGTTGCTTGTTAGTTAATTTTGCTTTATTTTCACTAGAAACTGGACAAAAATACTTCTTAGTGTTTTTGCAGTGTGCCCTTTGACCCCTCATCCTCAGATAAACTAAGAAGCCAGAACTTAAAGGAAGCACCAAATATTCACATCTTTACATGCGCGTTGCCAGGTAAGATGAATCCGGCTCCCTGCAGCGTTGTGCTGCCCAGCTGGGTGCCGCCTGCGCTGCCATTCATCTTACCTGTAACGGCTGTTTAGAGCCCGAGTCCCTCAGGGCCCCTCGGAGGGTCAGCATCATTTATACTGAGGAGCAGGAAGAGAGGAAATTGGCCTAACTCGAGGCGAAGGAGGTGGGAGAGAAGGAAGGATATTAGCTGAAAGCCAGAGTAAGAGACAAAGAGGAAGAGGGACAGGCACTGTGCAGGCAGCAGAGCAGAAATGTCATTATAAGCCTGTTAAACGGCCTCGTTATGCATGTGGGGAAAACAGGACTTAATGCAAGGAGGGAATATGAACAAGTGGCCAGAGGGCAAAGGTCATCCAAACACAAACGCTGCTGCTGAAAAGTTGCTCATTTTCAATCTCAGGTTCTGATTTGCAATAATTAGAGATTTTTCTCCCAGTCAGGAACAATTTGTTTCTAATTAGTTTTTTTACTTTGAGGTTTGGTTTAGTTTTAGAATTTAAGGTGATTTATTAGTTCAGACATCTTTGCATGTTATAGTTTACATGCAGAAACTTCGCGCCTGCGCACAACGCTGCAAGACAAGAAGACGATTCTCTTCCTTCCCATCCCCAGCGGCGCTGCAGCAGAACCGTTAACTACAGGAAACCTGGAGATGAAGCTGCTGTTAGTTTAGATCGCTGCAGCAAAGGGAAAAATAACACAAAACTACTTTTTTCTCGCTCTGTGTCGGTTGTGCTACAAGGAGACTCGTTGCCATAGCAACTGACAACAACGCCACTGATGTATCAGGATTCAACACTCAAACGTTTCCCCACACAGAGCAGAACATTCAGTTCGTTACAGTTTTATGTTTTCAGGCTCCATGTTTATTTTGTGATTATTAATAAGTGATCGCTGTGATAGATTAGCTACTGCTGCTATTAGCTAACACAGCGGTGGTAGGTTAGCTAATTTAAACATCTGCTCTACTGATGATCTGTTGGAGATCATCAGTAGAGCAGGTGGTGTTTTAGTTAATTTTTTAACTGAACTAAAAAACACTGAATTCTGCAGCACCTCTATGTGTTTAGGTTGTCATAGTCAAGCTAGCATAACTGACCCGCTTCCCTCTCCTTTTCTTTCTTAATTAAAACTTTTCCTGACCTTGTCATAGTGTTAACAATTAGTAGCAAAGCTCTTTGTCCATTTTTATTTTATATTTCAGGAGAACATTTAAGATTTAGCATGTTATGTTTACAACTTAATAGCCAATAACAATGCTAATCACCGTTAGCAAGCAGCTTTTTGCCCACCAGCAGGAAGCTGGGGGTGGGATCTTACGCTCATGATGTCACCGTACAATATCTTTGAGTTCTTATTTGTTTTCTTTACAAACTTTCATTCCCTGTTACTTTGACACACTTTGAAATGTTAACACCATTTTGTTTACGATCATATTTTTTTTAATCCATTCACGGGTCTGCATGTTTGAATAAATCCCTAATTCTGTCAGGTATAGTCGGATCAAACAGAACTTCTAATTTTAACAAATATAACATTTTACCTTTTATTAAGAACAATATTAGTTCTGTAGTGGAAGGAGAAAGGCAGTGCTGTGGCACATTTGTCCATAAAGATGTTTTCCTGACACTTTGCTTCAACCTCTCTCATCCTGTGACCCACCAGCTGCCCACTTTCCTGTTTTACTCCATCAAACACTGGAAAACCACTTTCCCATCCTTCATTGCCCTTTCTGAGCGCTGCGGCTCCGCCTGGCTGGCCTCTGGCTGCGGAGGGTTAATGCATCCTCCATTCTTCCTCCTCTTTCTTCTCCCTCTCTGGTGTCTCAGGGCACAATGCACTTCTCTTTCAAAAATGTCCCTCAGGAGCAGAGAGGAGACGGCAGAATCCACGACCAGAGCATTTTTAAAATGGACATTTTAAAAATGGACAAATTCACATTTTGTACATTTTTGTAATTCCATTTAAATCTCATGGTCTGAAAACAGACCATGCACTTAAAAACAAAACAACAACAAAAACAGCCGCTTATTGGCAGTATGTTAATATTTCTTGTTGTCTGGAAAATGAGTCGTTTCAAAAACTTGAATCTAACATCACAGCAGGCACTGCCCGCTAGGTGATGGCTCTGCTAACTGCAGCAGAGCCATCACCTAGCAACCAGCACAGTTAGTCAGTGTATTTTTCCCACTGTATGTATTGTACAATGGCTGCTGGAAAAGACATCCAGAAACCACTTCCTTGCTGCATTCGGGTTGTTTGTGCAGGAGGCTCCACTTCTGCTTGTCAAAGGTGTATGGTTGTATAATAGTTCATCTGTTTGCAGCCATTTTCTGGTGTGAACGTTGAGTTGGGGGCGTGGCCAGCAGCTTGTTTGGATTGCAGAACTGAGCAGACTGAAATCTCTTTAAGGATGATTTTGTTCAAATGAAGATGTTTAGACCGACCCCTACCTGGTCAGTAGGTCACTAAGTTCTTGCTCCATCGTTTTCAACATGCTGGCTCTTAAGTGGTGGGCTGGCTCCCAGGCTGCAGGATTGAGGGCCCGGCCTCAGCGTTACCTTTGCTCCCACCACACTGAAAACACGCAGAGCGTCCAGCTTCTCCTCAAAGTGTTCATAGACTCACGCTGAGTTGAGACTTGGCTGACCGGAGCGGAGCAGAGGGCTGCACCCCCCATTACTGACAGCAGAGCTGCTGGTGAGCGTGTCGGCCGCAGACCGGGTAATGGATTGTGTTATTCCTTGTTGTTGACATTGCAGCAGATCTGAGGTTGAGTTTATTCCCTCACCTCGCCGATCCCTCCATGTTCTTTCCTCTCCCTGCTTTATTGTGTATTCTGTCTATTCTTGCTCATGTTGCGTTTCAGACAGAAACATTAAAGCGTCTCCAGCAGCATACAGTACATACAGTACAGCTCTGTTTCTGCTCTGCATCTCATCGTTTCCCTGATGCAGAATCGCCTCTGCTGACCTGTTGTTCATTCACGGTTCATGCAGTTTATCCCAGCTGGTGTTTAGCTTCACCAACGTATCCAAAGCATTTCTTGGTTATTAGTTTGCACTGAATCCAACATTAAAAGCTTCCTTAGAGCTCCAAGCAGCGGGATAATTAATCTGATGATTTCAGAGCAGCTTAAATCCAAAAGGAAAAATAAAATCTGTAACCTGAGCGACGGTTTGAGTTCACAGCATTTTAAAAGGTGTCACTCTGTTAGTGACGCCTCCTGTTAGTTGTATTTAATAAATGAAAGTTAATCTTCAGTATATAAAACCTACTGTTTGAATTCATATGTTTCCTTGTATTTGTTCGTTGCTCAGCTGGACAGACCGCAGAGGGAAGCCCAAAGCTAAATTCATGGGCTGTTATTTTCATATCTTTATATTATTAAAATGTCCACAGAATGGACTTTTTATTCAGAAACTATCTGAAATATTTCAAACGCCTTACAGTCTTAACAGAATCTGGTTTGTTGTTGCAAATAAAAGACAAGAGGTCAAAAGTCCAGTAAAGCAGAACCCATAGCTGTTCTTTAGCCAGATGTTGATGGGAAGATGGACCTGTTAGAGGCTCCAAAGCACTTTGGACTAGTCTGTAGGGTTTCCTCCAGCAGCACAGATCAGTGGTCTCTCTCTTTATGGAACAAATTTAATTTAATTTTAATTAAATTTGCTCAACATAATGCCACTGTCATGTTGAAGCTTTTACAAACAGACTTTTCCAGTTTTCATCTGAATTATTGCTGCTGTTTCTTCTGGTTTTGACCTCTAGGCGGTGCCAACAGACCCGTTTCCTGTGAAGATGCTCTATGATAAGTCACATGACCAGGTGTGGATTCTTACCTGGGGCGACATGGACAAAACTCACCCAGCACTCCAGGTAAGAGCGACACATTAATGTTGCACTGCACTGGTTGCTTATTGATCAGCCATGATGGTTTTATTTTCCAATACTCTGACCTCAATTTGGAAAATATCAAATGTCCACAAATCTTTGTCTGTATTTTGTAATTGTGGTGTTTCCATTAAACGGCATTAAATAAAAAATGAGGTGGATGTGAACAGCCAATCAGAGGAGACATCGGTGTCTTATTCAGGTGTTGGGACGATAAGCCCCGCCCCTTAGGAGCGGCTGGGTTTGCGGCATTTTGTGGAAACTAGTGGTTGGTTGTCCAGAAGAGCGATGGATTCAACACGTTGGAATGAAACAAAACTTTTAATGAACTGTGACGCTTACAGCCGAAAAAACAAACTACAAACCAAGAAGACTACTTCCTGTTGTCTTCTTTGTGGTTTTTGCCAGTAGTGACATCCTGTTACAGTGACATCCATTTCAATATGGCTGAAAAACCACATCATCCTGGAGCTTTTCTATGAAAAAAGACGAGTTTATGTTTCCATTAAGCAAATTTATTTCTGTAATGTCAGTTTGTGCAGCACAGATATTGATTGTTGAAGCAGCGCCGCTGCCTCGTTTTCACACCCAGGGCTCTGCTTTGCAGGCAGCTCAGAGTGAAGAACCCGTTCCTGGTAACTAATTGAGCTCAGTTGTGTTTGTGAGATTTAAACGTGATGCGATGCAGCAGCTAAACTATCCATGTTTTAGAGCGGTTAGCAGGAAAGCCGCAGCTGCAGGCTCCTCGCCTGGCGTCCCTCCGGACCGCTGGTGCTGGAGGCTTCACAGATGAGGGATGATCACAGGTGTGGCTGTGTTTAATCCTCCTCAGGGGACCGGCCCAGATGAGGGAGGAGAGCGCGGCTGCAGAGGGTCGATGATGGTGTTGTTTTAAAGTTTTGTTTGCGGTGCAGCAGGGGAGCTGATGCTAATCTCTGGAACAAACATGAGCGTCGCGGCGGAGGGGGGGGATCCCATCGCAGCCGGGTTCTGCTCGTCTTTGGGGAAGTTCTGTCTGTTTGCTCTAACAAATACGCAGAGGTGATATGCAATCAGATTTATTATGTTTCTGTTTGAATGAGCAATTAGAGATGAATGATTCATTCTGGATTGTTTTTCAGCACAGCTGCTGGTTTTCATGAGTACAGGTGGAAAACGTGAAGGTGGCGTCACGGTTTATCACATTTAACAAAGATGTGGAAAAAGACTTAAAATACATTTAAAAATAAGAATATATTGTAAATATTTAATAAAATGCCTCACTTCCCAGAGCTGTCGATATAAACCTTTTACCAACAGCGCACTCCTCAAGCTCTGAATAATATTTAAATCTACAAACTGAGATCATAATGGCCGATATTCCTTTGGTGCCCAGTGAGTATTTTCTCGTTATGTTTTGGATGTTCATCTGACATCAAACTTTTAGTGTAAATCTCAGACGATGTTTCCAAAAGCTTTTACCAAACTGATTCTGAAACTTTGCTTGATTAAAACTGTTTATGTGCTTAAATATGTCAGAAAATTAAACTTTATTATCCCAGTTATAAATCACTTCATTCTACCAGCAGCTAAAACGTTTTCCAGAGGAACTCGCTGACTTTGCAGCCGATCGCATCACCTCATTAAATCTGCAGCCGTCTCTCATGCATGTGGTCACAGTAGGAAGGACAGAAAATAAACTTCCAGAAGAACCTGGTAAAAATTATTTTAGGATTTAAGTTAAAAGTTACAGCAGCAAAAACAGTATTTATTCTTTTTCCCATCCATCTGAATCCACCTCGTCCTGCTGATGTTGGATATTTGTCTTTCTGCAGATCTAAAGGTGCCACTATGGAAAACTCGCCATCTGCGTGTGGGTTTTCACAGTTTCTACTAAGTTACAATCTGTGAGGCCAAACAGGCTGAAAGTCTGAGCGCAGAATTAAAAAGTACAATTTATTTTTGTTTTTAGTGCTTCAGCTTTGGTTATGTTGGTAAATGATTTGGATTTGATTCAAATATTTTATTCAGACAAAATAATTTCAGCCTCATTTAATCTGAAACGACCAGAGAGAGAAAGCGAGAGACGTTCAGCACAGAAATGTTTTTCATCTGCATACCTCCAGAAGTAATGAATAATTAGAGAGCAGGGCATGAATCTTTCAAAAAACACAACTGCATGGAAGCCGCATAATGGATTGCAGGCTACATGGATCACAACGCAAGTAAATGTTCTGATAATGTTAATATCATCTGAAGTGAGAGTAATTGACCCGTTTGGCAGGATGTGGCTTCGCTTCAGCGGCTCGTTCACGTGTGACGGTTTGAGAACCGCTGCTGTGGAAATTCATGTCGGTGGTTTTTCTAAGCAGCTGGGCTTCAGGACGGTTCAATAACTCTGAGTAAATATCAGAGGGAGAGTGGTTGTCAATTCATTAAAGACAAGAGGAGAAATCTTCCAGACAGAGACAGACATGGCCTTTCCAGTCCTGCAGGAGAACTGACAGCATGGTGAAATAATCAGCTCATTTCTAAATGCGGGATGCAACACGGGTGATGACGTCAGACACAAAAAGCAAAGATAAAAGCAACTGAGTAGAAGAAGGTGCAATAATGTTTTCTGGTGAAAAGTGTGAGTTTGTACAAGAAAACAGGAGAAACAGGAAATAATGGTAGGAAAGACGTCCAGGCAAGGTCATCTAAAGGTCAGGGTGATAAATGGCCCTTAAAAACATAAAATTATAACTGTACACATCTGCATAAACAGGATTCAGTGGACATATTTAACTCATTGTAGTAAATAAAAGTACCTTTCACCCTAAGGGGATAAGCAGCTGCTGAATCATTCGAGGCGCCATGATGGAGGGAAATGAGGGACAGGAGGATCGGACCGAGCGACTGAAAATGTTTCAGTTTTTTCGTGGTTTCTTCTTGTTCAAGTCGAGTTAATATGTCTGTGAACGTAACTCGCCTGGTTGGGCTCATAAACGGGGTTTAGTTTTAACAGCTTAGAAACCGACCCAAACCTCCTGAGTGTCGATCAAATTACACCACATGATTTATATCACCGTCATAAACCGCGTTTCCCCTGAAACCGGAGCGAAGACGAAACCGCTACATGCTAGGCTACATGGCGTTCTGGAGAGCGTGGCATCACGAGCAAAGGGTCAATAGAAAACTGAAATTAGGATCAACTGTCTTCAAAAAGAGCAAATTCATAAGAAATACACATTTGAATAAATGATCATTTGAATAAACAACCATTGTTTGGTTAATACAAGTTGCCATGGTGGTTAAAAGGTGAAAGGTCAAATGTGACCAACATAAATTCACTAATGAAGCAAGAAAATGCATCCAGTGAATATGTCAAATAATTGCAATTATAATGTAGTTTGAGTGAAATAATGTGGAGAAAAACAAAGTTGAGGCATCTGGGAGACCAGCTAATTTTCATAAGTTACACTTTTAATTTAAGAATCAAACACTGATCCAGTGTTTTCCCTCATAATCCATAATATAATCCATAACTTGGTTTATTGCTTCTCAGGAGCGACAAGAAGAGAAATCCAGTGTGACATGCAATACAAGCAGTAATATTAAAACGCCTTGGAAGGTTTATTGAATTTTCTAAATGACGAATTAATAGAACCATTGTTAGGATTAGTATTAAATTTAGAAACGTCCAAATCCTGCAGAGTGAATACTCTGTGCTGCGCCAGAACCAAATCCCGTTTGGTTTTGGGTCGGAGTGAAACTCCAGCTGAGTGGTTGAGCTTTAACAAAGGCACGCCTGTGGCATCAATGGAGAGCACCTGCAGCACGGCGGCCGCCTAATAATACATGAGTGATTGTAGATTAAACTCATTAACTCCCATCACAGCTCTGCAGTGCTGCTAATGACATTTTGTTAACAAGGTTTTTTCTTTCTTTAAATCGTAGCTGTGTTCTGATAAAAAAGCTGCTCTGTCCAGAGAAATGTAAGAGCATTTTGTGGGACTGTGGCATTAATAACTTGTTTTTTGTCCACCCAAGAAGGAGGCAGTTCAATAAAGTCTGACTTAAGTTGGTTACTTTATGAGGCACACAGGTTGGTAGAACACCCAAAAATACAGCATTACTGGAGTCAGAGTTAAAAGACGGCTGTCCAAGAAATTACTGAAGAGTAAAAAAGTATTTGGTGAAAAGTCTAGTCAAAAACAAGTAACTGATCAAATTATTAATCATTTAATAATCAAAAATCACATAATCAGACAGACCAAAATATAAAGTTATAAAGTGGAAATTTTGGTATTTTGAGGACCAAAATGACAATAATTGATATTAAAGAACAAAATTGTGATTTTAAACACACTGAGTCTCCTGTGGGGACAGAAGGACAAACGTGTCTTGTCAAACACTTTGATCCGATTTGACTCGGACTTGTAGCGCCATGATGTGCAGGATGATTCGTGTTTTGAGAACTTTCTGAGGCGAATCAAAGGTCGATGAACGTTCACTTCACTTTGCAAACTTGCTGATTCAGAGCCAGGAGGATGACATGAAAGATGAGGCTTTTATAGTGGCTTGTTCTCCTGAGACAACCATCTCTGAGTGAGACGCTGTTACAGAGAACTGAGGCAGAGCCACATATCATCGGCTCAGGTCATAAACTGCAGATGTTTATCTGCTCCAGGATGTATGAGGGTGTCACCTGAACAAGCTCTGGTGGTTAGGATCTGACAGATGAGCCTTCGTTCTACCTGACAAGAAAAAAAACAAATCGCAAGGTATTCAGGAGGAGCTAAAATATCACTGCTTATCGGAAGGGATTCATTTATATATTTGAACAGACAAAACTCTAATCTACAGCAAAGTTTGTGAATTTAAAAATGTTTTTTATCATTTAAGCGTGTTGGTGTTCCATAGTTATCAAAGTAAGCTTGAAAATGACGTTTTTATGTTCACGTTTGTCATCTGTCATGTAATTTAATTTTGGTTTAGTTTCTAGTACAAATATCTTAGTGCACTGGAAATAAGATAAACTAACTTAAAAGTAACTTTTCAGCAAAAATAGCTTCTTTTAAGTAAATAATTAGTTTTGCTTCTCTGAATAAAACAAGCAGACTTTCCGTTTACAGTAAAACAGAATATGATTGGACCGCAAACATTTAGAAATTGCAGCTGAATCAACACACAACTCGTGGTGTCACACTTATGGAAACTTTGTAGCTGACGGCCATTTTGGTAGGTAGAATAACTGTTGTGACAGTTGCTATGGAGATGTCATGACAACAAGCTTAGAACAAGCTCTCACCTCATTCCTATCTACTTATAAACAATATAAGTACATAACTCTTGAGTAGTCCACCCACCTCTGGGTAAAACTGAAATACCAGTGATATTTACTGTAGTATGTACTGTAAAATTAGCTTAGCTTATGTAGCTTTATTCTGCTAGCTAAGATGGATGTTACTACCTGTACTCACTCTGCTAGTCACCAGAACCTTCTTATTCCACTAAAGAGTTCGTACATCCTTTACAAAGCTCCTCCATGTTGCACAAACTCTTCCTGTTCACCAAGTAGTGAAATATGTCATAGTAGGAGATCATCTGACATCCTTCAATCCCAACAGCAGCCATTATGCTTGGTGTCGGTAAACTTTGATTTTGTTGGTTTGGAAGCCATGATTCATCTATTCTTTGCGCTGTGATTGCCTACCAAGATGGCGCCAATATGTACAGCAAAGTTTACAGAAAGCTCAAGTTTCTGCATATTTTTTCCAGGTAATTCCTCAAGCCAGTGTGGGTGAAGTTCATCATGCCGTCCAAACCACTTTTCAAAGGGTGACGGACTTCTTCATCCCTCCAACTAACCTCATCATAACTCACGTGAGGTAAACCAGCCATGTCTGACCTTAGACTCTCCAGTAGCCTTACTGCTTGCTCAATCAGAGCAAATTAGAATTTTAATGAGAATTTCCATGTGTAATAATCCTGTCCCCTCCAAAAAAGCCTCGACAGGCAATTAACCTCCTGTTTGATCTTCGTCTGTGTAGGTTTGCATTCGTCTTCCTGAAAAATGAGCCGGCGGTCCACAAGATTGATCTGGAGACCTTCCACCGCGTCAAGACCATCAGCCTGAAGAACTACAGCTGCATCCCGGCCAGCATGGCCTACACACACCTGAGCGGCTTCTACTTCATCCAGTGCCAGAGCAAGAGCCTTCTGGGCGCTGCAGCTCAGCTCCTCGTCGACAGCGTGACGGACACCGTCATCGGCCCCAATCAGAACATCACAGGCCAGGCTTATGTGTCGCCAGACGGTCGCTACGTCGTGACGCCGGACCCGAGGCGCTCCAAGCTGACGGTTCAGACGGTGTCCTTCCAGGGAGAGCTAACGCTAAACCAGGAACTAGACGAGCCCATAAGCGTCTCCGATATGGTTTTCCAGCCTTCTTTCACGGAATCGAACCAACACATGTTGGTGGCGGTGTCCGGGTCGGGCTCGGACCTGCTGTTTGCCGATCTGTCATCAGGAAGCACGGAGGTTCTCCGGAGCCTCAAAGAGCCCCTGGCCGCCCAGGCCTGGCCGTGGGGGGGCCCCAACAGAGTGATCGTCTCCAGCGGGTTGTTCGGACAGTACCTGGTGACGCCGTCGGTTGAGTCGCTCTTCATCCTGGACGGCAAACAGAGAACGCCGCACTGTGAGGTTTCAGACATCAAAAGAGCCAACACAGTGGTCTGGGTTGGCGAGGTATGAGTAAAAAAGAAAAGCCGGAAAAACGGAGACTTAGAATTAGAAGTAAACGAGAAAAGGAGAAATCAGGCCAAATTACCTATCATTAAGATTTATGTGAACCCAACCTGGGACTGAGAGAAGGGAAACACGCCTGAGAGATGTATCAAAAGTACACCTAAAAATAGAGAAAATACTAAGAAAATCTGTTGTGATATTTCTATTGGGAGAAAGTGTCAATGCCGTTCAGTGCAACAGTGATCTATGTGCACTTAATTATACAGAATTGTACATTATTGCACTTCCTTCCATGTTATCACAGCAAATAGGTACCTGAAGAGGCGAAAGTAACAACTATGAACTATGCACAATGCTCACTTTTTTTTTAAGAATAAAAAGCTTTCCCAGTTTTGTTAATCTCATGTTTGTCGTTCTCACCAGTGCTGCATATAGTCACCAAACAGTCTGTCTTGTCTGCCTCTAGTGTGTAGTGTTCTGAGTCCTTTTAAAAGCGAACATCTGTTCACTCATGGTATTGTACTGTACTCTCTGAAAGCTTTCATTCATACTGGCAGAGGTTGGCTTCATGCACTTATCTAATTCCCTCTATTTCTGTTGCCTATCCAAAGAGTCCAATTGGTCCATTAAGCAACTATGGATGCTTCAGTCGCAGAGGAAACAGAAAGGATGTAGCGATCTCCACAATGGTTTAATCTCCCCTAACTCACTGTTACCCATGTTTACTTCAGAGCTGCAGCACGGCGCCGTGCTGTGAAGCCTAAAAACACCACTTAGCCGATCCATCGGGGCAGCGGCTCCGGTTTACGCCAAGGCCGAGGAAAAGCAGCATTGTTCATCCAATCTGATGGGCTGTGAGCATTTGTGCATCCACTCAGAATTACAGCTACAGGCGTCAACGTTTTAAGAAGTTATGGTTTAACTTTGAGCCCCAAGTTTAAAAGCTCCACCTGGATATTTTTGCTTATTTTAACTGTAAGAAGTTCTTTAAATCTCCTGAGAGTAAATAATTTGCTCATTTATCCATAACTGGAAATTTCAGTATAGTAGTTATTTTCATAATTTACCGTCTATAGAGACATCGTAATAACCCGACGTCGGCTGGAAAGCCAAACGTCTCAGGAACGTTGGATTTTTTTCAGATGGCACAAAGTGTCGCTGAATTACAGTACTGCAAATTTGGCTGTCGACACATTCGGTCTACAAGAATTAAATGAGATGCCAGAAAAAAGCATTTGGAGTTTTTTCTGCACACTGCCAGTCAGCTGGCTGAAAGACAAATATTCTGCTGTTTGAGAAACTTAAATGCTTGTTTTTGAAATTATACACAGCGTTTCTTTTAAACAACAGAAGCAAGAAAGCTCAGCTATCCAATAATCAGCTTGGTGCACTTCAGTGAAAAGTTCTCAGGAATCGCCTTCCTTCGTTCTTTCATACAACCGACTGACTTCTCAAATCCGTTGGATGGGAAACGTGGCTGCAGTTTGAGTTTAGAAAATCTCTTGGAAAGGAGTTTAAATCATAGCAGTGGTACTTCAGAAATATTTTGTGGCTGTAAAACTTTGTAAAAACATAAGCAAGTTCAAGCAAGCTGTGTAACTGTTTCTTAAAATATATTCTGTATCTTTGAAAACCATTAGCAATATGTAATTTATACAAAACCACTGACCATATAAGCTAGCTGTAGGGTTAATGATGACAATCCTATGGACCCGTTGCATGCTGTTTTTTACATTTTTTCCCGCACAACGCTGGAGGGCAAAAAGACGATTCTTTTCTTTTCCGTCCATCGCGGCGCTGGTAGAACCGTTAACTAAATGAAACCATGAAGCTGTTATTAATTCAGTGCAGAGCCACAGCAAAGGGAAAATAACGCAGAATAAAAACGATTTAATTTAATATTTATTGCATTTTATTGACAACTTGGCAGCTAAAACCAATGCTAGTCATCGTTAGCAAACAACTTTTTGCCCTCCAGCAGGAAGCTGGGGATGGGGTCTGGTGTGTGACGTTACGCTGCAATGGGTTCATGGAAGTTACTAAATGAACACCAGCAACTCTTTGTGTATGAGAATAGCACATTTTCTCCAGCTGAACTGCATCATTCTTGGTGTAATTGTGTTTCTGCAGTTCCACTAATCATTGCAATGATGAGCTATTAGCAGCCAGACATCTCTGCAGCTTCTGTAATAATGACTGAAACAAGAAAGCCTCACTAAGCACATCCGCCTCTCAACAGCAGGGCTGCTCTGCACACCAATGCTTAGCTTGGACAACACGCTTAATGGACTCGCATATCGGGCTAAAACGGCTGATGAGCGACTTTTGTTTCAAATTATGAGATTTGTCAGAACGCTGATTCTAGGTCTATTTGTAGATGATTGAGAAAAATCGTATATTTAGAATAACGCAGCAATCAAAAAGTCTGAAAACTTTAACTTAACTTTCCGTCTTACAGCAGAAAGCAGGAATCAAAACGGAGATACACTGCAAATACACAATCTTGACAAGTATTTTTAGTCTTTTTTATTTATTAAATTTGAATTAAGACAAAACTTACAAGTATTTTCAGCAAAATATAGAATATATATAGAAGCTTAAGTAAATGTTTACTTGATATTTATGAAAAAGTTCTTGTTCTACTGGCAGTTAAATTTACTTAAAACAAGCTTCTGTATCTTGCTAATACGTTATATTTAATTTTGTCTTAATTCAAGTGTATTAAGCTATTTCTGCTAGAAACTAGACTAAAAATACTTGGTAATATAGTATGTTTTTGCAGTGTACATTAATTATTCATGCAGTTATGCGCTGTATGAACCAAATGCTAAGAGTTTAAACTTCAAATCAGAGCAAAACCTGAAAACTATTTGAATAAATAAAATTACCGTTTTATTCATTTACAGAGCTTTAATCCCGTTTTTTGAGTGACTTGCTACAATAATGATTATAAAAGTAAATAATGAATCTGTTTAAGTCACATGTGCATCATGACTGAAACCTCGCTTCTTTTAAATGTAATCAGTTTTTAAGCTAACCTCATTAGCCGCGGTGCTTCAGTGGATAAATTCAAGAGATCCAAATCTTTACTTATTAGTTTTAGTTTTAGTTAGTTGCCCTAAATTCACACAATGCCTTAATCTACATAATGTAGCTAAGATGTTGTTACTATAAACGTTGATCCTTTGGATCTTGAAGGCAGCTCACTCATTCAGCGTTTCTCATTAGAGGATTTGTGCGTTTTGCTAAACGGCCAACTTGTGCATTTGATGTTTTGTCTGCAGCCACAATTTAGTTTGAGGCAGAATGGAGACATTTTTGTCAACATTTGAGTTTTTACATGAGTTTCCAGAGGTTCATGTGATTTCTCTGTGAGTACAGATTAAACTTTTCATCGTTTTGCATATTTGCAACGTTACGACCACAAATTTCAATGTACATAGAAAGTAGAAAGTAGGATAAAAATGCATTAAGCCTTCTTTTCTCTGATCAAATTTATTAAAAAACAAATTAAGTTATAAAATACAAAATTACTAGAACAGGATTCCACATATCTTAAGTTTTGGGAAGAGACACAAAACGAAAATTATTCTGAGAAATTGTATATTTTACTGATCTGATCACATTTAAGGATTTTATATTTACATCAAACTAACACCAGGTGGAAAATTAGATGATCTGCCAGCTCAACAGACATGCTGCTTGCTAGCTTCATTTTCCACAAAATTCAATTCAAACCTTTCCTAAGCTTTATTTGAGCCAGCTGACTAGCAAAGCGCAGCAACATGAGGAGAAAACTGCAGTGAATCCATCGTTTTTCTGGCATGTCATTAAAATGACTAAATTTAAAGAAAGGTGCGATATAAAATCATCTGGTGATTTGGAAACTAACTTAAAAACCAGAAGATGACAGAAAACATGTAGAAAGTATCAGTCAGATGAGATTAAACTTTTAGCTGTTTTTGGTCGAATGTGTGGCAGAAAAAGATGTCGGATTGAGGTGAATATTCACCTTCCAGCAGAGCTGCAAAATGTAGATTTAATTCAAAGGATACACAAAATCTCAACAAAAAAATTACTTGGGAATCCAATCTGAGCCTGAACCATTTCACCAAAAAGAGCAAATATTAGTTTTATTTGTCCAAACTTGGTAGAAATGTCCCAAACAAAACATGAAAACTTTTTTTAACACTGGCTTTTTTCATCCACTTCACAAATCTACATATTCCCAAAATATATCAATAGATCTAAACAAAAACACTGAGGTTTGTGGTTGTAACGCACTAAAATGAGGAAAAAGAAATTTATCTCGCAGATCACAAGTACTCACAGCCATTCAAATGAAATGTTGCTGGCTTTTATTTTGGCAGGTCAAACATCTTTAAAATGAGATCCACAAAGTAAGATGTCAAAGTCTGGTTTTAGCATGTAGCAACCCCAGTTAAGTTTAGTTATTCGTTCAGAGACTTTTAGGTTTGTCTGATGGATATTTGCTGCTAATGCAATATTCTGGTTTTAAAACTAAAGACAATTTTAAGAATATCAACAGCGATCTGTTTCTTAGACCACTGTTGCACTGAGAAGACAAACGTGTCCAAATACATTATGCTGTCATTTTATTTTTTAAAATAAATGTTAAACTAGTTTTTGGCTCTGCTTCCTGAAGTTCCAACTACATAATGATCCAAATTCACTCCCGGCTAAATCTGAATCCTGCATGTAACCAAACAGCTCTGCAACATGACCTCTGACCTCGCACTGATCGCCCAAAAGCTGCTTGTAAAAGTCACTTTTCAGTAAGACACACCGCTGCTAGAGCCAAGGAGCGAGAGCAAACCTCTGCAGCCGTTAGCGGGTGATTCTGGCTAGCTCCCGTCGTTCTGTGGATCAGTGTTCCTGTTTTAGGCCGAAAAGCGGCGCAGAGCCTCGCTGCTCAGTGTGATAGAACCACTGTTGTAGATAACCTTGTTCCAGATAGGACACCTTCAGACATGACATGAACCTGTACAGTTTTCTTTATGCATTTTGTGTGTTCTGGTTTATGAGGGAATTGTTTTGTAAGAAAAAAATGGAAATAAATATATTGTTAAAATCATTTTCATGCGGTTCAGAGTCGGTTTGTCAAACTAAGATGGTACAAATGGTTAAAGTTTGATGATAAAGGTGCAGCACTGATTTTGCTCTAAATGCAAAATCAGAGTAAAATAAAGTTTAATATGTGATATTGTATTAGCAGCTCCCTTTAAAATAGTATTTTGAAACATTTCTGAACTGAATGCATGAATAAAATGAAAAATTTTTGCAGGGACGTTTTTTTTTTCAAAAAGCAAAACTGCAAGAACAGTTTATTAAGTGTGGATTAAAATAATGTTTTTTAGAAAGTAAAAAGATGAAATAATTATAAACTGATCTAAAGAGATTCAATAAGCTATCAATCAACCATAGTTTAATCTAATCTGATACCACAGATTAATTAATTAATCACATCCACAATCCCAGTGTTCACATATGAACCATTTCTTTGTCCGTAGCGGTAAAAAAACCAAACACTGTCTGACTGTGGAGATCTCACTTCACCGAGTAAAACCTGAGGTGAAAAAAGCTCCGCCTGCGTGAGCCGAGGCGACGTGGAAAACGTGAAGCGTCTGTTCGGCGCTGACAGGAAGCGCGTTTACACCTTTTCAACATCTGGTGTAAACCTGAAGAAACGCCTCCCTGGAGGGTTGGAATGAGTGAGCAGATCTCAATCTGTCTGCAGAGCATTTACAGGTAATCATTCACCAGGATAATTACTGGAGTGGTGAAACCGCAAGACGCCGACGTGTCAAAAGCTTTTAAAGAGAAGAAACAGGCAAGTTACCGCAGTCAGACGGGGAAGAATCCAGAAATTAACTAAAAAAGTATCCGTCCAAGAAATTACTGCAGTATTTGGTAAAAGGTTTACTCAAGTACTGAGAGTAACTGATCAAATTATAAATTATTTAATGTCAGAGTTGGGTATTTCAGTAACGCTTTTGAAAAATGTATATTTATTAGGAGTACTTTATTTTCACTTTAACGTGAGTAATTTAATTATAAAGCATTTATTCTCTTACTTGAGTAAAATTTCTGGATTTTCCATCCATTCAATGAAAAACATGTATTAACCAAAAACTCAGACTCGGACACAAACCTGCAGTTTCAGACATTTTTTATTGAAAGAAACTAACTTGGAAAAAAAAATCTATTTTTTGTTACTTATATGAATTATTGTAATTTTGGTCTTTAAAAAACTAACAGGAACTGCAGGTGTGTGTCTGCCTGGGGGATTTTGGTTAAACATGTCCGTTGTTTTCCCATGTTTCCTCCCTTAATAACTCCAAACGCCGTGCCAATATGAAGCTATGAACATAAAGAAACAAAGGAGAAAATGTGTTCATTTTTATGGGTTTTTTTCACTTTAGATGTGTGGCATCAGTAGGTTTATTTTTACCCGGTTCTTGCTGGCAGGGCGTCTGCAGGCGTGTGAACCGTTCTGGGATCCGGTCCACGTTGGGATGACAGAGCGCCTGAGATCAGCACAAACTCTACATCTGTTCTCACTTTTCACTGGCAGGAAAGAAGCCATTTTCTTTCCATCCAGCCACAAGCCTGCAGTTTCAACAGACTGATTTATTAATAGTGAAACTGGAAAACCTTCAGACTGCTACAATGTTTTGTATCAACATTTTTACTAAAAGAGCCCAACAACAATGAATTTATTATAACTGACCTAAAACTATATTATAAATATGGATTGCATTTGAATAAACCCTTTAAGTTTTTGGCTTCTGTTTTAACCAGAAGCTCAGACAGACTCACACCTGCAGCTTCTGTTAAAGTTTAGCAAGTTTCTATTGAAAGAAACTGATTTGGAAATAAATTATTTTGTCTGATTATTAATATTTTTTGCTTGTATAAATTAAAATACCAAAATTTCCACATAACTATATGTTTGTCCGTCTGATTATGTAATTTTAAATATTAAATGATTGATCATTTGATCAGTTACTCAGTACTTGAGTAAAACTTGTTAAAGTATTTCTACTCCTGCTCTGGTAAAATGTACCAATGGGTTTCATTGCAGTGAAATTTCTCAGCAGATTTTCTGTTCTGTAAAGCTTCTTATGTGATTTTAACTTATTTTTGAGAGGATTTTTTTTTACAGATTTCATATAAATCTGCAAAGACAAAAAAAATTAAAGATTTCAGAATAATAGTTTTTGTGTCACAGTCTGCGATTTGAATCCGTTTTCAGTCAGTGAGTCTTGATTTGGACTCCATTGTGAATTTCTTATTTTCAGACACGATTCCCTTACAGATTTGGTAAATCATTTTTCCTCTGGTTTCAAACCAGTTTGTGAAGGACGACTCGGCGCTCTGCATGCCGGTGCTCAGAGATTAAATAATTTATGTATGACACATAATTTGCTGAGCACACCTTTATTTCTGACACTCTTCATCACAACCGACATCAGATGGAACGCTAATACCGTTATTATTACTGACACCTCAGCTGCAGTGAGACCCACACGATCCGTCATCGGACCCGCGCGATCCGTCATCGGACCCGCGCGATCCGTCATCGGACCCGCGCGATCCGTCATCGGAC